TCTTTATATTTCATCTGTCTCCTTTCCCCTTCCACTTTTACCTGTGCGGAATTATGATCGCAAATCCATCGTCTTGCCATGCCTCAAATGTCACGACGTGTAGTGTACATATTCAAAGTAAAACAAATTCGCATTCCTCAAGCGTGAAAGGAAGTCCCGGTTGACTAAACGCTATTTGATAATCCAATGTGATGGTGTACGATGTCACTTCCTAGAAAGCACACCGATAGATGGATTTATATGAGCATAATAAATATGTTTATTAATTACAAATACATCTTTGGAAATGAAAAAATTGATTTTTGTAGGCCAAAAAAACACGTTAGTTTATTAAATGAATATTTGTTAATGTCCAATACAAATTTATTAATAACTAATAAATATTGATTGAACGAATATTAAATATCATGTGATTAAGATAATGTGTTATTCAGGACAGGTTAATTATTTCATAAAAAATATTATTCATATTGAATCATGAAATTTTTATGACAAAGAAACTTTTTTAATCGCTAACAAATTTAATTCATTTAGAATAAAACCTTCTGTTAGTGCAAATGTCAATTACTGCATATCACGCGACTGACTTACGCATATCGTCTGGTGCTTATTTATGTACACATCGTAAATAATTATTAAACATTAACACAGTAGAAGACAAGACTATGATCCTTAAAATTACGATTCGCTTCAGTGATTTCGCATCGTCTTAATCAAAGAGCGATTGAAATTATGCTAATTCTATAAACACGATTCAATTATCTCCGAACCCTTGGCATCATAAATTATTTACATCTGTTCACTTGCTTTTATCTACAATGTACCACAGTGCATTGGCATTCAAAGACACTCGAAAAGAAATATTTAGAACTAAAAACTCATTAAATTATTCCGCTGCTCCCTAACTTTCTCCACTTTTTTTGGTATTGCCATTTAATGGATCAAACATTAGAGAAAAATTATTCGGTTTGAGTAAACTGCAGCCTCGAAAAATGTAAAATTATTGGATTGTGTTCAAAAGTTGGTAGCTTTGCAAAAAATTGTGGAATTTTAATGGTTCAGAATTTATTTTATTGCGTAAGTTTTTAAGGTTTTAGGGTTTTTTTTTGAATTTTTGTTGGAAATCATTGAAATGTGAATCATTTATTTTTGTTTTTTTATTTATTTAAACTCATATTTCTAAATTTATAATTAATTTTATGTGCTTCATATTTTATACATATTTTAAAAAATTAACATATCAAAAAGTTAAAATTTTGTTTTCATGAAAACTCTTTTTTTTACCTACATTTTTAAAATACATCACAAGTTTGTTACAAAATTTGGTTTATCATGTACCTGATTTCTAAAATCAGGACCTTGGATATCTCCCAGATTTCTCTAACTTTCCCTTAGACACAAATTTTCATGGTTAACCCTACGAATTAAGCGCCTCTCCGTGATTTCTCGTCTATGCTTGAATAAGATTCATTTTATACTAATTTCTAAATAAATGAAGAGTTATTACACAATTCATTTGGTTTTTTATAATAATCAAAAAATTTAAATAATATAATAATTTTTGTTTATTTGAAAATAATCTCATTCCATATATTTTTAATATATTCATCATATAGTTACGAAAAAAAAATCCTAACTAATCTGAGAAAAACGTTATCAATTATGTATTTATTTATATGTAAATTATAGATATACAATTTAATCAATATCGTAAATAAATATACATCACTCAAATATATATATATAGTGGAGTACGCTTATAATAACATAATCATTGATATTCTTTAAATCATATTATATACTGTACATGTAGTGAATCCTGCCGCAATATATCCCTTTATTTGCCCATAAATTTTTCAATGTACTTCTACAGGAGATCAGTTTCTCATGCAAGTAAAAGTAATAATAAAAAAAAAATAATTCATTATTGGATAATAAATAAGAAAAGGAGCTCTAAAATGGTTATTAATTTAATCTGCTTCACGGTGCTTAGTTAAACACAATACTATTCTACAGCATCATATACCAGAAATTGTTTCAAATTCGGGACCTCACAATCTGCGGAACTGATTTCATGTTATATAATCTGCAGAATCCCAGATGTTGGTGTTATCCTTCTCAATGCATATTAATGTCAAACCAAGAGGAGAATTCACTCGGCAGCTTATTGTATGTGAATCAAATTTGATCAAACTTATGAAGCTGATTTCATCACCGGCATATGGTAGAACTTAGTTTTAAACAATCGTTGCGTGACGAATAGATCTAACGTTAGATGATGTACGTTTGCATTTATATCTCTCTGTTCAGCTGTAAACATGCGGTAGAAAGACACTTCAAGAGATCAAAGTTAGATCTGCAAAATATTTCATAAGGACATCCAAAAGTAGATGCCAACAGAAATGGCGTGAAACCCGACAGAGGAAACTTGCGGGTGGAAGCATATAGAACTAGAGAGACCGTACAAACAGCTTTTCATGTAAACATGAGTCAGCCATTCGAGGTTCATGTTCTGTATGCACCGCAACGAGAATTTACTTTAGTACATATTGTGGTTTCCACTCTTAGTTAAATTATCCCGAGAAATTCTGAAGCTGTTTGACATTAGTTGAAGTTCATTTAGAAGTTATTGCTACAAGCTTTGGAACATTCTTTTACATTTGATAATTAATTCTTTTGAGACTTTATGAATTTATGTGAATACTCTTTACATCATTCCAAAAATACCTAGTTAATACTATTTTATTGTTGTTATTACAAACTATTATTTATGGTTTTTATTTTTAATGCTTGTTGAAATTTATGATTAAGAATCAAATTGTATGATTATCTTTTTGCTTTCAACTGAACTAGTTTCCATTTCCTAAATTTATCCGAAATAAACCGTGCCAAATGTGTCATGAAATGTGTTGAAGAAATAAACACCGATGCAGAATAACGAATGGTAAACATAATCAAACCAAATGCACGTTTTCTTCTGGAATAAAAAGGTTTAGAATTATATTTTTGTTGATTATGCTTAGAAAAATAAAAAATTCAATTTTATCAACTACATTCTTAAGATTAAAATAATGAATTTAAAAAAAATTAAAAGATTTAAAAAGACTTTAAGAGAAGATGTTATCTATTAACATAGCAGTGTAATCAATGTCTTTGTTGATGAAGATAAAGAATAGAGTCTTGTAAGAATCTAAACTGAATGTAATTATTAGAAAGCATCATCTATTTGAGATGCATATTTTATAAGGCAGTGTCGTGTAATAAACATAAGACTGATAATAATGATGAACCTCGGAGACGTAAGAGAGCAATGTTGATTGTGACAAACATGAAAGTTACTTGAAATATACAAGATACTTTTAGAGAGAAAGGAATGAGGTAGAATTTTTCGCGTTCTTTTATTTATACAGACATGATTCATGATACGAGTTTTATGCGTTTCTACCGATCGTTTGGCTCAGTAGAAAATTCGTAATAATTTTTATTTCTGTCTCAACGACAGTTGTTTTTGTTGCATCAGTGTTTCTCGAGAAATATCTCTGCGGGGTTCAGGATATTATCGACCGTGTGTTGGTTATCGTTGTATAAAGCAAATTCGAGGGGGAAATGAATCCTGAGTTGTAGTATAGAATGATGTGTTGTGAAATAAAACAAGGGGGGTAGTTGATGTAGAAGAGTATAGAGCAAATGGTTGGCTTTATACATAAAGAGGGAACACATATGACTACATAGGCAATTGCCACAGAGTTCACGCTGATTATTGAACTGCGCTGCAGTTCATTGCGCCGATACGTTACTTGATAGTTTGTTGTCACACACTCAATGTTATATTAATGAAACTGCTGGTTAAATATCGAGTGTACTCCAACATTTGTCATCCAATTTACCGTGTTATTTGATATTTTTCAATAAAATTCAACCATTTATCTAAATTTTATTCTACTCTTATTCACTGATGGTTATCTCCTCATTTGAATGCCAATAGAGGCAGATGAATTTATTGATAAAATATCATACAGCTTTTAAAACGTTAATTAATTTATTAGTTTGCTATAAATAACATGTTTTGGTTGAGCAAGTAATTTACTAACTTTAGAGGTAGTAATACTTGTGATATTTAACACATTTTCGTTCAACATTGGGATTTATGACTTATTTGCTTTTGTTTTATTGAATTTTTTTACTGTTTTAATGAATTACAAGAAATAGAACAACAATTGGTTTTTCATTTTGTTATCTCTCTTTGAATGAAAGAAAAATAATTATTTACTGATAAATGAGAAAAGTTCTTTTTTAAGGAATACTTTTTTAATTATTTAAAAGCCCGTATTAAGAATTAAAATTAATGGCATGACATTCATTTCCTCCCAGAGAAGCTGTTTACGTAAAAATACTGAAATTTATGTGGGAAGTAATATCATGCTTGGGGATTTTTTTTGTAGTTTTTTGTAATTCTGAAAAATTGATTGAACCAGGCAAACATAACAACGTACTTTTTTTGTACATGTTTTTAACGTTAGCCACTTTCTCTGACAGATTGTTTTCATTTTGCGGTCATAAAAATATAATTTTCCATAAAATTAAACTTTTTTTACCATTTCAATTTTTTGTTGAAAACTAGCAATGTGTTTGATATTTTTCAACTAATTAAAAGAAAAGTTTAAAATGAGTTCATAACTTATTTTAGTAGCAATCTAAGTTAATATAGTGAATGGCAATTTCAATTTATTTCCCTGTTTTTTATGAGAAATATTTCTATAGTAATAACTTATAATGAAAATGATAGCAATGAAATTATTCTTTTAAAAAAATATCGTTAATTTCATTTTAAATCTTTTTATACAAAACTAGATTCGAAATTATTCAAATTAGTTTGTAGAAATTACTAAATTTCAAAACCTATTAAAATATGTCCATTTATTTCATTAATTGTTTTTATAACAATCGGAAAATTTATTTGCAATAATGATAATTTGCATGATTTAAATTGATTGCTTCAGGGGCTCCAGTGTCCGTGGATCTGACCCTTCCCTAACATCAGACTTGGCCTTGGACAAAACACGTTCAATACCATCACCAAGGTAAGTGAAAACCAGTATTCAAAGCTTCAATACTTTTACCAACAGAAAAGCTCGAATTTGCTGAGCTTTCAACTTCTCTTTTATCGGCGGTTGCAGACAAATTCATCCCTTATACAGCGAAAAGGCAGGTCTTCTTGGCTATTATGATGCAGTCGGTAACACGGAGAATTTTCCACCCGCCCCTAACATCGTTGTAGAGGGTGGAAGAATTGAGTTTGTTCGCCCCTCGCATGATGGCACCACAACTCGAAGAAATACAGTCTCCCGATCATCACAGACTTTTACTGAACAACCAGAAAAGTCTGATCCAGCCAAGGTAAGTGTCATGACTTCACAAATTTTGACTCACAATAATGGAGGGAGTGGTTATTTAATTAGACCGTTTGTCAAATCAAGCATCATTTAATTGTAAGCTTAATTTGATGCTAAAACTGTCAACCCTTTCTTTTGAATGCATCATTTATTCATGATAATTGATTTTGTCGACAGGGTGTGTAGATGAAGACAAGTTTTACATGACAAATTGAATAGTCTCTTTATCAAAACTTCTTTATCAAAGTGATTATACAATGATAAATGTAATTTTCATTAGAAATTGAATCACTCAATGAATTTTGCAAAATTCATCCACTGATTACCTTAAATATAAATTCGATTCTGTTATTTGGATGGTAGATTTGAATTTGCTTACCATAAACCACAACCGAAAACCCTTTGAAGATCACTCCAGTCCATTCCAGTCAGCATTTTGATTGAGAATATTAATTGGTGCGTTTAATCGACCAACCACAGTTCGTTTGTCAATATCAGAGCCCTTTCAACTTGCCTTCTCTCTTCAGGTTATTAGACCTCAGACATACCACCTAGATCAATAAACAAAATACTTAATAAACATCGTGAGATAGTTCATATTTTAAATTTACTCATAACATTTCTTTTTACTTCTACTTGAATGGTATTTTAAGCATTGATTCAGACTAGGAAATTTTAAAAATCCTTACGTGTTGGGATTTCAGTAAAAAAAACGAGAATAGATTTCAGGAAAGTCTTCCTGTCCAAACGTTTAATTTATGTTCTATAGAATGGGCGAACAAAAAAAGCTAGATTTAGCAAGATGTCTATATGTGATATAGAGATTGTAATCTTCCCCCGGCGATTAAATCGGATATTTGGCTTTGTAAAAAATCCAATTAATATTGCAAATTTCTAAAGTAAAATTCTTTTTTCCGTAATGCCAAAAAAATCATTTTTATACCAAATTAGATTTTTTGTAATCATAAAAATTACAAATTGTTTATTTATAAGTAATAGTAAAAAAAGTATATTATTTCATTATGGAATAAGAGATAGTTGAGTTTCATTTAACGTCCCTTTAAAAAAATGAAATCATTTCAAATACATTGACGTTATCAATTGATCAATAATAAATAATGATACAAAATGGATTGAAAAATTATAAGAGATGCCGTTAAGTGTCTGCACGTGGATTGCCAATAAGGCAATAACTATGACAAGCAGTTTGTGTGCTCTTGTCATTAACGAGTTGATTTGTCAGAAAGAACGGTCTAGATGGGTATCCCTCTGTCGCGATCTAATTCATGCCAATTCCCTGGTTGAAACTTTTGCATCGCTTAATTCAATTAGTTCTGCTTCTCGAGCGCGGCAATTAGCATATTTACATTGCTTGTGGTTGCTTCTCTATTTTACACTGCACGACATCCTATCCTCTCGATAAACGCTTGCCGGAAAAAAGATCAAGGAGACTCTTATGTGTGATTCCAAGTATCTCGTTTAGATAAGGTCATTAAAGTATTTACATTTTATCTTTTTCTTTAATTTTGCTGCTTATCACGTTTCTCGACACGTATATTATAATTACAAAAGTTATAATCAAAAACGTAATTCACTTCAGACTAATTCTCTTTGCTCGCGTTTTTATTTATTTTTCGTATCCTGCTGTGGATGCGAAGAAATAAGGATTTTGAATAAGTAGCTGGCAAGTGATAGAGATTTTATGGAAGGAATACATTCAAGATGGAAAAAAGCAGTAGGTTAAAAATACTCCAATGGTAATAAATCTCTGGATTACATTTTTTTTCTTTATTCTATTAGCTAAAAAAATATTTTAATAAATGCTTGTAATAAAATAGAATTACTTATAATGCAAAAAATATAACATTAAATACATTATTATTCATTGAAAATAACTATTAATCTAATAAAAATTGTTAATAATTACAATTGACAACTGTAAAGTTTTGTCAAAAACCTTAATACATTGACTTGTATTATTATAAAGGTTGTTTCTTATCAATGGATTATTTCCAAAAATATACAAAAAAAATATACTCTATCGCATGACTTTATTTCATTAAAAACCAAAATTTCTCTTCATAAATTTATTGTTTTTTTTTCCTATTTTGTGGAATTTTAAAATTCGATGGAAAGTCGCTGCAGGCACGAAGCACCTACGTAAATCCTGTAGGCGTAGAGAGAAACTCTTGTAGACGTTCAATTGACCGGGTGTGTCGAAATCCATCGATAAAACATGAATAATAATGTTTTACTTTTAACAGTTAATATAGTAACACAAATAAAAGTTTCACTTTGTAATGATAATACATCAAACATGCAATTTTAAAAAATAATAGCAGTTGAATAATAATCATATCGAAATAAAAGTGCCAACGATCAATACCTTGATATACATCGCCAACAGTTAGCAGACCAAGTGGTAGAAGTCTCATGGTCTAGACAGTGCAAATTATTTCGAACGTTTCTAAGACTTTAGTGAGAAGAGAGAGAGAACGAGAGGATGAGTGAAGAGAAACGGGAACTCTTATTTACAAAACTACACGTAGAAAGCCATGCACGTCTAGAATTTATTACGTGTACAGCTCGTGCATTGTTTCTATCCGCCAAACAGCATCAACGAAAACAAAGCAACGGAAGTAAAGGAAAAAAACCCATAAACTGAAAAAATAACAAAGGTACAAAAAAGAAATGAAGGATAGAAAAATTACTCCCAAGGGCCATCCGAAATTTCACGGATGAAAACCTTGGGGTCTTTTCTCAGTCAGCTAAATTAAACGAATAAACAAAAAAAAAAGAATTATCTACATTTAGATTCTCGTATGGGCCGTCCTTGGTAATGCAATTACATTTTTTGATTGTACTCATACGATTAGAAGGAACATCTATATCATACGTACTAATTATCATCACTTTAATTATTATTCGTGTCATTAATCCTACACACTGTGTATTTGAATAGTTACGGATCGTTCCCTTAAAATAATATTCAAATTATTAGAAAAGCAACTAATAAAATTAATTCTACTTTGTAATTTTTTAGTTTATTAAAAATCCACTCAAGTAACGCCTTCATTCATTCAATTTATACATATTTTATTGATTTTTTCTGATAACAATTAATGCGTGAAATATTATAATGCTATCGATTATATAATAATTTATGACCATTTCTCGATAGATATATTTTTTTTTAATGTAATCTTTTATTATTGAATAAATTAAGTACTTCTCTTTTAAATTTATTTTCAATAATAATACAATGAATCTTTCAATAAAATAATTGTCCATCAATGTTTCATTTCAATATTTTGAATTCAAAATTCATCAGACATAAAATTCATTTTAAACCTGTTATCGTTTAAAATGCAAATTGTTTCTTTATTAATGAAAGCATCGAGTTTTTATGTTCAATTTTTTTGTTTAAAATATCAGCAGTCATTATTGTTTTTTCTTTGAAAGATTATTTTTTATTGGTAAAAAATATTTTTATCCTTTGACAGCAATCACCAATACCCCGATTATGATTATGTTCGCTATTCTTTCAGGTTTTTTTTTCATTCCATATGTTTATTCATCCATAACAGGCAGTACGAATTGAATTGATCAACGTCATGTCGAATGTCAATCCACAACATTCATGCAGGGGTGGATATAAAGCAACTTTAACACAAAGCCATATATATTTAATCACGTATATACTTCCAACAATTTAATGCGTAGCTAAGCGATTATTTCGTTTTTGTTCTGGCCGCCTTTTCCACGGGGCAAAAAACTTCACTAACCAACTGAGTGCAGTTGCATAATATTTGCATGTAGGAAGTCTTGTTACATGTTTGTAAAAGTTTGATGAGTTTAATGCGATCTTGCGTAAAACCCACAGCACCATTTAGACCAATGTCCAAATTGGACGTTATTGAACCCCAGAATGAGTAGAACAAAGAACGCATTGTTACTGATGCTTTCTCGCACCGTCCACAATCGTCCAATACAAGCTGGATGTCCATAACTGTAGAGCACTCGTCCGTTGAATGTCGACACGCATTAAACTGCTACATTGCACTCATGTCATTTCACCGTCCCATTATTCTGCCAACGCCAATGTATTCTATATTGAACACGTGCGGATTTGATATATTTTATTTATTTAACTTGTCGCGTTTATGATAAAAAGATAAAAGGCTATTTTTGATCAACTAAGAAAATTCATTTCATCAATTCCACATGCCTCTACGCCTTCACAATCGTTTATTGAAATTACGAATCCATTCAATAAAATATCATTTAAACGATTATATGATTTTTAACTCATTTCATTTATTATTTCTAGATTAAATTATGATAAAAATATATTTTTTTCTAGTATTCAAAATTTTTTTTATACTTTTCTTTTAAAATAAATTAATAAAAATGACTGTAAGTCATAAACTATTCATTGATTAAATAATTTTCAAGTGCTTTCTAGAAATGAAACAGTAAAAATAATAAAATGGACTGCAGAATCAGTGAATGTAATACAATTAATTTAAACAGTGGTTTAATTTACACTACATAATCAATGAATATTGATTCAGTGAGTAGGATTGTTATTATTTAATTTCAATAATATACATACATACATATTATAAGATTCGTGTTGAAATTTTTTAAAGTACGAAACATATTCAAGCTTTTATTACCTACGATTTCATTTCATTTTTTATACAATTTTTTAATGGATTTCAGTGGTTGATCGATAAACGTCAGTATTTTTTTAGCTCAAAGAATAAAAAAGACGACTTAAGTCCAATTTCGTGAGCTTTGGTGAGGCTTTCGTTGAGCGAATCTTAAGAATGACGTAAAGGGAGGACTGAATCAAATGGCCCTCGAATAGAAGCAGCAGCTCCTTGCACTGTCGATCGCAGTACCGCTATAGACGTTTAGGGTTTCTTGAGGATAATGGTTGCCGTTAGCAGCGAAATCACCCCAACGGCTGTGGAGAGTTTTGCTAAATCCTCAATAGCT